GGGTTGTCGAGCAAGCAGGAAAATAGAGGTTTACTTTTTCATCATTATCCCATTTTATCTCTTTTCTAAACCCATCATCTCCTTCTATTAATTTGAGTCTACCTGACCTATCTTTTATCTGCATGTGTATTTATGGTAATAATAATAATAATATCCGCGGAAAAGGACCTCTGTATAGCTATTAATTGAAAACATTGACTAGTGATTTTTGTATGATAAAGTTAACCCCCAAGCAATCAATGGCTAGCAAATAAAACCTAGGCTCAACCTATCGATACCGCTTTTACCCCACTCTGAAAAAGATGATTTTACTATTTTTTTTTAATTTTATACGAACAAAGTCTTTAATAGAAGGACGTAATAGATGTTGGCACATAATGAGAAATGAAAATGTAGAGATAAATGAAAAGAGGTTAAGAGAAGAAAAGGAAAAATAGTAAAAAATCGAAGCATTAATTCTTTTCCATGTGCATATGTTTTTTCTGCTTTTAAAAGCGAATCCTGCAGGGGGGAGGGGGGAACTACATGTTGAGACTCATCATTGAAACCTATTGAGAGATGAAATTGTCAATATATTCTTCCCTTCCTTCCCCTTTGTCTTCCTCATCAGATGTAAGCCTATTTGATTGTTGAAAATAAAGGAAGTAAAAAGGGAAGTGTGCATTAGAATTGGAAGTATGCCATTCTAACCATCCCCACACATATGCCAATACGAGATGAGCTTTTAAGTTCATTCAGTTGCTTGCTTGTTTAATTTAGTTTTCTTTTTAAAATTTCCGTTTCACCTATTGTTCTTTTTTTTGTTGATTGTATATCTCTCCTTTTTACCCTTTTTTTGTGTAAATGTCTGGGTTTGCGCGAAGTTCTGTTTTTTTTTTAGGATTCTTTCAACTATTTTCACTGAAGAAGACTTGACACTAAAAAGGGAAAAATAATATTTGATGATATAAGGAAATTGATAAATGAAGATGCATTTGACATAATGTTAGAAAATGGAAGAAGTTCTAGCTTCTTGTCTTTTATATTTCTTCGAAATCTCTCTTTCTCCGTGTGCGTAGTGATTCTGAAGAGAGTTTCCAGTTTGAAGGTGTTCAGAGTAAATATATATATATATATACATTCCATTTCGCGTTCTCCTATATATACATATATATATATATATAGGTATATATATCGATATATGTATATATATGTATATGTCATCAAGCATGACATTCGGTGTAGTTTTTTTTCTTTTTCTTTTTCCTTTTCTTTATATATATATATTTAGGGGTGACGTAGAAGTCTTTAGAACTTAGGTGAGGGCTTGAATTTAATATTTATTTAGCACAATTAATCACTAGAATGGGGTTTTCTTCACAACAGACGCCTTTGTTATGGAGGACAGATTAAGTGATTGACAATGAAAGCTATTCGAGGTTAATCAAATTTCCATTTTTTTAAATTAGGTCCTTTCCTTCCATTGTAAAATCAAGAGAGCCTTTTGATTTACACTTATTAAACCAATATCCTACTTTTTACCATGTCATTCTTCTTTCACAGCCGGACAAATGCTCGTCTTTATTATTTTATTCAATAAAAGGGATAGTAAGTCTTCATCGAATTTTCCCTTGTTGTGTAATTCATAAGAAAAATTTACCCTTCGAAATAATGAGAAAAACGATAAATGGATTTCTTTGTACTTCTTACTAACGTCCATAAGGTTGTTTTTATCGAAGGATTATCGAGAAATGGATAACCCCCTAGGAATAAAAACGCCAAGAAGTAGCGCAAACCATGACTATCTATTCTTTAATTTTGCATTTATGACGGAATTAAGAAAATTGCATCTAAGTGTGTATGCGGCGTGTTTGGAGCCCGAAATTAGCCCAACCATTCCATTTTTTATGTCCTGCAGCTACGAATGGGGGACTGTTAGCGGTTGCTGTTTGTGCGGTTATTCCACCTATTGCCCCCCCGTCGTTGCCTCTGTGCGTTCAGTTTCTATTTCTTTTCAGTAAGGTAGTGCGAGAGCCATCAAGGGAACCCCCCCCAAAAAAAGGTCCCCCGAGCCAACCCCGAGCCGTCCCACCGCCAGTTCGGCCCTGCATTTTTGTGCACGGACCCTCTTTTTATTATTATTATTATTATTATTTTCCTTCCGTGAAGGGGCCGGTGACGCCGTCCGGCCTGGAATTCCGCTTCGAAGCGCCAGCAAATGCCCGCCCCGGCGGCCTCGGAAGGGGGGCGGCAGCTCGAGAACCGCCATCTGCGCGAGCTGCTCATTCGCCAGGCGCGGAGCTCGCACAGCACGCTCGGCCGCACCGTCGACGCGGACGTCACGCGGCGGATGTTGGGCGAGGGCCTCAAGGCCGGCATCGCCCCCGCCGCGATCTTCCTCAAGTCCAAGGAGCACGCGCGGCAGCTGCGGGCGCACAAGGCCCAGATCGCGGCCTGGGAGGAGACCCACGGCCTCCGCGCGGCGGCCCTGTCGCGCCCGTCGTCGGGGGCTGAGCGGCGGGCCGCCCCTCCCCCCGCCTCCCCGC